CAAATATGAACGATACATAACTAGTGCATATACATTAAATAAACAACTACACAATTCCACAACATAAAAGTTGGCAAAATTTAAGCTATTCCCACCTAAATTCAACCTAATTTGAGCCAATTTCCACCAAATATACCCAAATGTTTTGTATCATAGCACAGTCAAAAGCCCATTTTTACCCTCAATTTTCACCTATTCCAACCTACCCTAGACAACCTTACCTAACCTGACCTAGCATATCCAAAGCTAAATTTGATTACAGTTGCCAAAATTTATGCTGTCCCATCTAAATTCTACCTCATTTAAGGCAATTTACACCAAATATATCCCAAATATTTTATATCATAGCACAGGCAGAGCCCCATTTTTACCCACATTTTCACCTATTCCATCCTACCCTCCACAACCTCACCTAACCTGACCAAGCATATTCAAAGCTAGATTTGAATAAAAGTTGGTTAAATTTATGCTGTCACACCTAAATTTATCCTAATTTGAGACAATTTCCACCAAATATACCCAAAATGTTTTTTCATAGCAAAACCAAAGCCCATTTTACCCAAGTTTTCACCTATTCCATCTTACCCTACATGACCTTACCTAACCTAACCTAGCATATCCAAAGCTAGATTTGATTAAAGTTGATGAAATTTAAGCTATCCCTCCTAAATTCAACCTAATTTAAGAAAATTTACACCATATATACCCAAATGTTTCGTACCATAGCACAGCCAAAGCCCATTTTACCCAAGTTTTCACTTATGCCATCTAAATTTAATGTATATTTCCAATATCCGACATCCGTTTCTAGCACAACATGCCCAGTTCCCAAGATCATTTCATAAAGCTAGTACTGTGTCCATATAGCTATTTCCAATATCTGGATGTGTTTGTCTATCATCAATTCTACCAAACCAAACCTAACCTATCCTAACACATTTGGAATTGAAAATAATATTGAAGCAGTTGAAAAACCTGATTTCAGGGGAAGACATTATGGGAATCTTTGACATTTCTTTACGGAATTTGACTGGAAAGACTTGCTGTTAGGAAATGAAGTAAATGAGATGTATGTCAAGTTTTCTGAAATATATGATAAAGACACAAACAAATTTAAACCAAAGCAGAGATGCAGAGCTAGGAAATAGGATTGGTTCAACAGAAATGGTGAGAGGATCAGAGACCAAAAGACACAACAATGGAATCAATATAGTAAGAGGCCAAACCCCCCAAACATACCAGCGATACAGAGATGCGAGAAACAACTACATAGCAAAGAGGAGAGAGGCAGAAAGAAATTTTGAAAAAGGGATAGCAGACAAATGTAAAACAGAATTAGATCTATTCTATAGATTCATAAACAACAAATTGTAGGTAAAGAATAATATTCCGAGGTTGAAAATGGGAAACAGATTCACAAAATGAAATGTGTGAAACATTCAACGAAAAGTTCCAAAGTGTGTTTGTACAAAATTAAATCTTCAGAGAACCAGACACAATAAGAATTGCAGAGAACAACATAGAGCACATAGAGGTGTCTAGGGACGAAGTGAAAAAAATGTTCAAGGAGCTAAGTAAGAACAAATCATTCGGGCCAGATGGAGTTTTATCATGGGTTCTGAGACAACATGCACCTGAGCTCAGCATTCCACTTCAACTGACTTTTCAGTTGAAGTGGATCCCTGTGTACAATCCTGTGTACAGTACAATCATCCCTGTGTACTGGAGTCGTAGCAGATGTGTGGAAAAAGGCTAACATAGTTTTAATCTACAAAAGTGGCAGCAGGGAAGACCCCCGTAATTATAGATCTGTATCATTGCCAAACTGGATCCACTAGGGCAATTCGTTGTTACCTTCAACGTTGTTCTGACAGTTTCTGCGACGGCGCTGGAACCAATCGTATTTGTGTTTGCCTTTCTGTTGGAGACTTTCGGCGCCGTGGAGAAGGGGGATCTGCTGCATGGGTAACAGCTTCTCCCCCGTATAAACCTACCCTGGCTATGCACCCTGGAGAGACCACTCCATGCCGACAACCAGAGTGCAACTACATAGCCTCCCAAGACTGATGGATGCCTAGTAATATCATTGACAAAAGTAACAGTCAAAATATTGGAAACAAATAATTAAAACTAAATGGGTAGAACACCTGGAGAAAAACAATATAATATCAGACAGTCAGTAGGGGTTTTGATCTGGAAGATCCTGTGTAACTAATTTACTCAGTTTCTATGATCAAGCCACAGAGATTTTACAGGAAAGAGATGGTTGGGTTGACTGCATCTATCTGGACGTAAAAAAGGCTTTCAACAGAGTTCCACATAAGAGGTTGTTCTGGAAACTGGAACATATTGAAAGAGTGACAGGTAAGCTTCTAACATGGATGAAAAATTTTCTGACTGATAGAAAAATGAGGGCAGTAATCAGAGACAGTGTATCGGACTGGAAAAATTTCTCAAGTGGAGTACCACAGGGTTCAGTTCTTGTACCGGTAATATCCATTGACTACTTGAACATTACCGGTGGAATACAGAATTATATGAACAAGTTTGCTGATGATGCTAAGATAATAGGAAGGATAAGAACTTAGATGATTGTCATGCCCTTCAAGAAGACCTAGACAAAATAAGTATATGTAGCACCACTACATAGAACGTGGGATAGGAGAACATTGACCCCACACAACCTATAAATTACGTGAGAAATTTTTAAATAATTATGATAAAGAAAGAGATATAGGGGTGGTTGTAAATAGAAAACTAGTACCTGAGAGCCACATTAAGAACGTTGTGCGAGGAGCCTATGCCACGCTTTCTAACTTGAGAATTGCTTTTAAATACTTGGATGGTGAAACACTAAAGATATTCTCACCACTTTTGTTAGACCAAAGCTAGAATATGCAGCGGTGTGTGATGCCCATATTTTAAGAAGCACATCAACAAACTGGAAAAGGTGCAAGACATGCCACTAAGGGGCTCCTAGAGCTGAAGGACAAGAAGTATGAAGAGAAGTTCGATGCATTAAATATGCCAAAACTAGAAGATAGAAGAAAAAGAGGCGATATGATCACTACATACAAAATAGTAACAGGAATCGATAAAATTGATAGGGAAGAATTCCTGAGACCCGGAACTTCAAGAACAAGAGGTCATAGATTTACACTAACTAAACAAAGCTGCCGGAGAAATAAAAAAAAAAATCACTTTTGCAAACAGAGTGGTAGACGGTTGGAACAAGTTAAACGATAAGGGGCCAAAACCGTCATTAGTTTCAAAACGTTATATGACAAAGAGTACTGGGAAGATGGGACACCACGAGCGTAGCTCTCATCCTGTAACTACACTAAGGTAATTGCACTTTGGTAATTACACACACACACACACACACACACACACACACACACACACACACACACACACACACACACACACACACACACACACACACACACACACACACACACACACACACACACACACACACACACACACACACACACACACACACACACACACACACACACACACACACACACACACACACACACTTAACTACAGACCCGTATCACTGACAAGCATCCCCTGCAAAATATTTGAAAGAATAATTAAAGACTTGTTGAGCACCTGGAGAGCATTGGGTTTGTAAACAAGCACCAACATGGGTTCTGGACAGGGAAATCATGTCTAACAAACCTTTTAGAATTCTATGATAAAGTAACAAGGATAAGGCAGGACAGAGAAGGCTGGGTAGACTGCATATTTCTTGACTGCCAAAAGGCCTTTGATACGGTACCGCACATGAGACTGCTATACAAACTTGAGAGGCAAGCAGGAGTAAGAGGAAAGGCCCTAGTATGGGTGAAGAACTACCTAACAGGAAGGAGCCAGAGGGTAATGGTAAGGGGCGAAAAGTCGGACTGGCGAACAGTAACAAGTGGAGTACCTCAAGGATCGGTGCTGGGACCAATCCTCTTTCTAATTTACGTAAATGATATGTTTACAGGAGTGGAATCATGCATGTCAATGTTTGCAGATGACGCAAAATTAATGAGAAGAGTTGTGACAGACGAGGATTGTAGGATCCTCCAAGAGAACTTAAACAGGCTGCAGAGATGGTCAGGGAAATGGCTACTGGAGTTTAACACCAGTAAATGCAAAGTTATGGAAATGGAATCAGGTGACAGGAGACCAAAGGGACAGTACACAATGAAGGGGAACAGCCTACCTGTAACGATTCGAGAAAGAGACCTGGGAGTGGATGTGACACCTAATCTAACTCCTGAGGCACATATTAATAGGATAACGACAGCAGCGTACTCTACACTGGCGAAAATTAGAACTTCATTCAGAAACCTAAATGAGGAAGCTTTTAGGGCGCTTTACACTGCCTACGTGAGACCCGTCTTAGAGTATGCCGCGCCATCATGGAGCCCCCACCTGAAGAAACACATAAAGAAACTGGAGAAGGTTCAGAGGTTTGCGACGAGGCTTGTCCCAGAGTTACGAGGGATGGGATATGAAGAGCGGCTGAAGGAACTGAACCTTACGACACTAGAGAAAAGAAGGGAGAGAGGAGATATGATAGGGACATATAAAATACTCAGGGGAATTGACAAAGTGGAAATAGATGAAATGTTCACACGTAATAATAACAGAACGAGGGGACATGGGTGGAAACTGGAAACTCAGATGAGTCACAGAGATGTTAGGAAGTTTTCTTTTAGCGTGAGAGTAGTAGAAAAATGGAATGCACTTGGGGAACAGGTTGTGGAAGCAAATACTATTCATACTTTTAAAACTAGGTATGATAGGGAAATGGGACAGGAGTCATTGCTGTAAACAACCGATAGCTAGAAAGGCGGGATCCAAGAGTCAATGCTCGATCCTGCAAGCACATATAGGTGAGTACACACACACACACACACACACACACACACACACACACACGCACACATACACACATACACACACACACACGCACAAAGAGGTTTCTCCAAACTGACCTGAACTTCGAAGATGACTTGGTTGTCTCCTGGCGCCCACATGACAACATACTTGCCCTTTTGATCTAGGACGGACCTGCGCGTATATTCTAGTGGGGGGAGGCTGCCTGTGGCCTCCGCGTCCATACTCACGCCCTTGAGCCCCGTCACCATCATCACCATCACCATCACCATCACCACCATCACCACACATGACGCCGACCCCATACTCTGCAGCTAAAGAATGATGTGCATTAGGTCCTGACAAAATACCATGCAAGATCTTTGTTGATGCTGAAAAACAGAAAATCTGTTTACAAATATGACGAGACATTATAGGCTGCGAGAGATTATTTGTAAATGAATATATGTGTTTTACACGTTTAATTTGACGGTGAAGTTAAGAAGCGTTCGCGATGAGAATATTTAGAATATTGCACACTAACACAGTCTTACATAGGAATAATATTTAGCTGATTTTTTTTTAAATTAATATAAATATATATATATAAGTTATAAGACGTTTGTGTAAAAAGAGACAGTGCACAGTGTCTCAGGTAAGAATGCTCAGGCCGGCAGCACAGTCCTCACCCCAGGTAAGAATGCTCAGGCCGGCAGCACAGTGCTCACCCCAGGTAAGAATGCTCAGGCCGGCCACACAGTGCTCACCCCAGGTAAGAATGCTGAGGCCGGCCACACAGTGCTCACCCCAGGTAAGAATGCTCAGGCCGGCCACACAGTGCTCACCCCAGGTAAGAATGCTCAGGCCGGCCACACAGTGCTCACCCCAGGTAAGAATGCTCAGGCCGGCCACACAGTGCTCACCCCAGGTAAGAATGCTGAGGCCGGCCACACAGTGCTCACCCCAGGTAAGAATGCTCAGGCCGGCCACACAGTGCTCACCCCAGGTAAGAATGCTCAGGCCGGCAGCACAGTGCTCACCTCAGTAAGAATGCTCAGGCCGGCAGCACAGTGCTCACCTCAGGTAAGAATGCTCAGGCCGGCCACACAGTGCTCACCTCAGGTAAGAATGCTCAGGCCGGCAGCACAGTGCTCACCTCAGGTAAGACTGATCAAGACTGAGGCGGCCAGGTCTCATGGACTGGTCTTCGCTACCAACAACGTCATCCCACCAATTACACTCATTACTGACTTTGTATACAACATATCCCGCTGCTGCCGTTTTGGAAAACAATTGTAGTTCTTTGCCACTGTCATACACACTCGTTCATACAGTGATTAATACACTTTTTGTGGTTAAACCAAAAACATTCCGACAAGTGATTTGTTTAACAATATTGACAGTCTTAAGCGAAGCCAAGACTATCACTTGCTACATGATATATGTGAGTTGAGGATCGAGAGGCCACAGTGCCTAACATAATCATAATGTTAAGTTAATGACGGACAATAGAACATTGAATAACAATAAAACATTGATGAACAATAGAACATCGAGGAACAATAGAACATCGAGGAACAAGAGAAGTTTGTTCTCTGCAGAGTCATGGCGGCTTCTGGCGTTGGTACGACAACAAAGCAACACAACAAAGGATAATTCAGGTAATGGAACGTTGCCTGAGAGGCTGGTAGACTCAAGGCCATGTGACGCGACGTCATTCATCATGTCTCTAGTGATGTCACAAACAACGTCAAGGGGAAGCAAAGGAGAGCAGCATTAGAAAGGCTTCGTCTTGGAGTGTCGCAAAGGACAGGGGACTTTAGAAGACTCTGACAAGGCCGCCTACAGCTGTCCTGAAGACTTCCGATTCATTCGCCGTGCTGGAAGACGAATGCTGCGGGGAGACTGCAGTTTGCTGGAAAGTCAAGGCAACGAAGGGAGCGCCGGTCCCTCAAGCTGCTCACAATGTAAAAAAAGTAGCAAAATGAATTTTGGTTGTGGGAGATTCCCAGGTGAGGTATTTGGAGAAAACTTTCTGTGCCAGAGATAGACCAGGTTAAGGGTTTGCTATCCAGGAGCAGGGATTTGTGATATAGTAAGCAACATGAATGGTATTATGGCTTTAAATGGGAACAGACCCATTATTTGTATCAGTGCCGGTGGATATGATGTTGGAGGAGTTAGGAATGAAGAACTGATGCAGAGGTTTAAGTCAGTCATATAATTAGTTAGGAGCAAGGGAGGAATCCAGATCGTATGTGGCATTCTTCCAAGAAAGAGAGTTGGAAATGAATAGTTGTCAAGGGCACTTGGTGTCAATTGCCGACTGGACAAATATTGTAAATCAAATGCAATATCATTCATGATAACTGGGAACACTTCTATGGAAGAAATGCCATGTATGCTCGGGATGGGGTGCATCTCTCTAGGGCTGGAGTGTTGTTGTTGTCAACTGGTTAGAACCTGTAGTTGGAGAGGTTTGTTTGGGTTTAAACTGTTAGTAGATAGTGGTATGGGAATTGATATGGAGAAAGAAGGCAATAAAAGTATGTATTGGTGGGAAAAACAAATTGGCAAAATTAATAGGGAAAGAGAAGGGCCTCAAAATACCAATACACTAAAGGAATATTACACGAACAGTAGGAGTCTAAGAAACAAAATAAACGATTTAAATGCTCTTGTCTGTACAGAAACAATAGATATTATTGCACTTACCGAAACATGGATGAATGTAGAAAACAGAGAACTATTAGCTGAATACCAAATAAACGGATATAAACTATTTCACAGTAATAGATATATTAGACGAGGAGGGGAAGTAGCTATATATGTCAGACCGCCACTGACATCCAGTGATGTCAGTGGTGGTCTTGGTGTCTCCAGTGATGTCAGTGGCGGTCTTGGTGTCTCCAGTGATGTCAGTGGCGGTCTGATGTCTCCAGTGATGTCAGTTTCGGCCTGGTGTCTCCAGTGATGTCAGTGGCGGTCTTGGTGTCTCCAGTGATGTCAGTGGCGGTCTGGTGTCTCCAGTGATGTCAGTGGCGGTCTGGTGTCTCCAGTGATGTCAGTAGTGGTCTGGTGTCTCCAGTGATGTCAGTGGCGGTCTGATGTCTCCAGTGATGTCAGTGGCGGTCTGATGTCTCCAGTGATGTCAGTGGCGGTCTGATGTCTCCAGTGATGTCAGTGGTGGTCTGGTGTCTCCAGTGATGTCAGTGGCGGTCTGATGTCTCCAGTGATGTCAGTGGCGGTCTGATGTCTCCAGTGATGTCAGTGGCGGTCTGATGTCTCCAGTGATGTCAGTGGCGGTCTGGTGTCTCCAGTGATGTCAGTGGCGGTCTGATGTCTCCAGTGGTGTCAGTGGCGGTCTGGTGTCTCCAGTGATGTCAGTGGCGGTCTGGTGTCTCCAGTGATGTCAGTGGCGGTGTGGTGTCTCCAGTGATGTCAGTGACATTCTGGTGTCTCCAGTGATGTCAGTGACAGTCTGGTGTCTCCAGTGATGTCAGTTTCGGCCTGGTGTCTCCAGTGATGTCAGTGGCGGTCTGGTGTCTCCAGTGATGTCAGTGACATTCTGGTGTCTTCAGTGATGTCAGTGGCGGTCTGATGTCTCTAGTGATGTCAGTGGCGGTCTGGTGTCTCCAGTGATGTCAGTGACATTCTGGTGTCTTCAGTGATGTCAGTGGTGGTCTGGTGTCTCCAGTGATGTCAGTGGTGGTCTGGTGTCTCCAGTGATGTCAGTGACAGTCTGGTGTCTCCAGTGATGTCAGTGACAGTCTGGTGTCTCCAGTCATGTCAGTGACAGTCTGGTGTCTCCAGTGATGTCAGTGACAGTCTGGTGTCTCCAGTGATGTCAGTGGCGGTCTGGTGTCTCCAGTGATGTCAGTGGCGGCCTGATGTCTTCAGTGATGTCAGTGGCGGCCCGGTGTCTCCAGTGATGTCAGTGGCGGCCCGGTGTCTTCAGTGATGTCAAGGCAGGGCCTGGTGCCTAGCATGAAGTCACTGTCAGATGTACGGATAGTGAGGACGACGAGATCTTCCCCATCAACACTCATCTCACCTCACCCAGCGCTCCAGAGGTCGTCTTAGTTCATAAATGTGCGTGTGTGCACGTGTAGGAGTGTGCGTGTGTGCACGTGTAAGAGTCCGTGTGTACACATGTAAGAGTGCGTGTGTGCACATGTAAGAGTGCGTGTGTGCACGTGTAAGAGTGCGTGTGTGCACATGTAAGAGTGCGTGTGTGCACATGTAAGAGTGCGTGTGTGCACATGTAAGAGTGCGTGTGTGCACATGTAAGAGTCCGTGTGTGCACATGTAAGAGTGCGTGTGTGCACATGTAAGAGTGCGTGTGTGCACATGTAAGAGTGCGTGTGTGCACATGTAAGAGTGCGTGTGTGCACATGTAAGAGTGCGTGTGTGCACATGTAAGAGTGCGTGTGTGCACATGTAAGAGTGCGTGTGTGCACATGTAAGAGTGCGTGTGTGCACATGTAAGAGTGCGTGTGTGCACATGTAAGAGTCCGTGTGTGCACATGTAAGAGTGTGTGTGTGCACATGTAAGAGTGTGTGTGTGCACATGTAAGAGTGCGTGTGTGCACATGTAAGAGTGCTTGTGTGCACATGTAAGAGTGCGTGTGTGCACATGTAAGAGTGCGTGTGTGCACATGTAAGAGTGCGTGTGTGCACATGTAAGAGTGCGTGTGTGCACATGTAAGAGTGCGTGTGTGCACATGTAAGAGTGCGTGTGTGCACATGTAAGAGTGCGTGTGTGCACATGTAAGAGTGCGTGTGTGCACATGTAAGAGTGCGTGTGTGCACATGTAAGAGTGCGTGTGTGCACATGTAAGAGTGCGTGTGTGCACATGTAAGAGTGTGTGTGCAGTGTGTACAAGTTCCGGCGCTAGGTGGCGCGCGGAGCACTCACAAGAGGACGGGCAGAGATAGGAGACTTATTGAAGTCGTGTCCTGAAGCTGGTTTTCATTATTGTTACGGCCCTCTCGGGACGCAACGGGGTTCTCACTCTGATGTTGTTAGAGGAAGATATATGTATCCGTTCCCAAGCCAGTAGTGGCTATCAAGGGATGAGATCCGTGACGCAAGTAACTTAAAGGGAGTAGGGAAAGAAAGCTAAGAACTTAATATAATATAATGTTCACCATCACCGTTTAAATATATAGAGTAAAAGAGTACACAAGGGGGAGGGGTATTAACACTTTACAAGGGGATCGTGCACAATCTAGTCTTCTGCTGAAGACCCTTGATCAAGAAGCTAGGTGCCGAGTCCGCGGTGCTTTCTTCGTGGCCTCAAGACGTGTCTTCTGAGAATACCGAGCCTACCCTGGCCACAGGTCAGCCAAAACACAGGTCCACTGGGGGCACCGTCGTGGAGGCCGTCAACCACACGTCCAGCAGGTCTGCTGGCAGGTACTGAGCCACCAAGGCTGGTACGGCCACTCCACGAACGATAAAAGAGGTACGCCCTAGACAGGAGTCTCGTGTGATATCACCAATCACCCTCCTGTCCTCAATACCCCAGTGGATTATCGTCTCCAACCGTCGGTCCCGGGTAAATCCTTTCCCTGCCACTCCACTGGCAGGCTTAACACACCACAGTGTTCTTCCGGGGGGACGACGTCACAACAGCTGCAGCAAACTTCACAGTATGGAGACTGGCTGCCTCGGGTAGACTGACTCAATCGTCAACACAGTGGTCCCAGGTCGACTCTGTAAGCAGACACGTCATCAATAACCGGGACACTAATACATCTCACTTACGGGCTCAGATACTAACACCTGACGTATCCAGTCCATAGATGGCGCTGTCGTCGGAGCACCACCTCACCAGAGGTCAGGAGCGGCGGTGTTGAGCGCTGAACCAGACTGGAAACTGGTCCTCGAGGCCAGTACACGCTGTCCTCACTAGGTGTCGTCGTCCGTTTGGCGGGGGTTTCGGGAGCCGACCCACAGATGGCGTAGTTGTCACTGCTCCAGGCTCGGACGCTGGATCCGGGTTCGTAACAATTATCATCTGATTATAGTAGTATCTGTGCACTACCGGACTTCAGACTGATCTTACAGCTTCATCTTATCGAGGACTCCGCGTTAGGCAAGGCTAAGTATCCCTGAGACGATTTGTTGGGGCCATGACTAATTGTTTATGTGGAGTG